GGCAACTAATGCTGCAAATGAGTGGTTACACCAGCAGTTGGAAGAATTTTATTTGAAGGGACTTAAGACGCTGAAGGACAGATGTCACAAGTGCACTGACTTCCTGGAGGAATATGTAGAATAGTGTGGCAGTTACAGCTTCCTAGCTCAATTTTTTTTCTGGGAAAGGCTCAATATTTATCAGCACCCCCTCGTATATGCTTTGTCTCATCAGCGGAAGGCAGATTTGCATGCCTGTTTCTCCTAAAAAATTGGGAAGGGGAAATCATACAAATATGTTCCCCATATGAGGATAGTAGCATCTTCTCCAAATATAAAACCTGGGAATATGACATATTTTAATGAATAATTTTCAAATATAAAATGGCTGTTTCAAATCCTCTATGCCTATTTCTTATAGTTCTTGCAGTATTAATAAAAACTCCAATATCTTTTACTAATTAATATTGGTCTTCTTTCCTTCCAAGGTCTTATTCCAGTACGTCTATTGAAGATGCAATGAAAAAAGGGGGAGAGCCACCAACTCCTCCACCAAGGCCTCAGAAATCACATTCCAGAGCATCCTCCTTAGATCTAAATAAAATCTTCCAGCAAAACACCCAGGGTAATGTTGATCATCTTTTATGCTTCTTTGAAATTTTAAATGATCAGAATTTAAAAACAACTGAAGTAATTACATGCTATTTTTTCTTCCAGTTCTGCATTGTTTTTTTGTGGATACTGTCTATGTCTCTTCTGATATTTGCTTTTATCAAAGACAATATGAATATGTAAGTGGGTCATCATAGATAACCATATCACCTATTGTCAGCTCGGGTTAACAGTAGGTGTTATAGAATGTCTATGATGACCCACTTACATAGTTCATGGAGCCATTATTCACTGTAAGTGGAGTTAGGAGAAAACCAAATCATGTACATGCAATCAGGAAGCAATTTCTAATTTTTCATTTGTTCTGGTGTCTGTCATTGAGCCATGTATTTTCTATAGCCTAAGAGGAGTTGCTCTATACTGTATCTTATCAAATTTCCATTACGTGAGTGATACAACTTGTCAAGTTTTCAGCTCCTGGACTGTACACATCATGCTGGCCAGATATTGCTGCCTGTGCAGATGTTTTATGCGCCTCTTGTTTTTGTAGTAATTTATGAACCACTTGGTAGGCTCCAGTAGATAGTTGTTGGGTAAGAACAATTCTGTCTTTATTAAATATAAACTTCATTTCAGCATGTTGTAAGGTCAGCATGTAAGAGGATGTTTTCCTTTGGCTCAAAACTAATGAGATGGTTCTTATTTGTAAATGAGAAAGAATGTAAGGGTACCACTTCAGCTTACCATGAAACAAACTTGATATTTTATCCCTTCTTCTGATATTTTAATCTTCATAAAGCCTTTGACAGCTTCTAAGTTATGGTTTTTTCCTGCTAGATATTTCTAGAAAATATGAAGGCAAGTCTAAACTGATTACATCTTTTTTAGATGAGGTGCCATTATCTTCCAAAATTACTAGTGACTTCCTGCATGAAAAACTATATCTCTAGATTTTGTCACTTTTTTACCCTCTGAGGAAGCCAGGACATAAAGTTTTTGAAAAATACTGTTCCATAGCTTATTTACAACTGAAGGCTGCAAATAAGAATAGTGGCAAAAGCAAAGTGTTGTAGTCTCCTCTATGTTGGTGCTTGTTCTCAGCCAGTGGTAAATATGCCACCAGTAGAATATCAGAAAAGGGATTTTCAAAAAGACTTTATTACTAAGGATGTGCACTCCCTCTATCCCCATGTGTTCCTGTAAATGTGACATCGAATTTTGTATATCTTCCCTTTGTGTTTTGCAATCACAGTAAAATTTTCACTCAATAGTATTTTTACAATTTTTGATTTCTGATGGCATTATTGTATTATTTCTCATGGCGTTGATATATTTATGATTACTTACAGTCCTTTTTTTCTGCTCTTGAAACTTGCTGTAACTGATAAATACAATAATGATATAACGATTGCATGACTGTAAACAATTGGATGTCCTTCTACATAGATATCTATGGGCTTTTTGTTTCTGTCATGGGTACAACCTATGTTACAATGATTGGTGGAATGTGAAAATCATTATCCGAACTACACATGTAGAAGAAAAACTGGAAGATATTTCTGCTTTCTCAGAGCATGAACCCACGATGGAATTGTTTCCTACTTATGCCCAAGTTAGTTCATAGTCACGTGATGCAAAGCCATTGGTGATTCATTTTACCGAACATCAGTGTAACAGTGGTTCAGTTCTCCCTTGCCAGGAGGATTCTGGTGTTGTTTGTTTGTTTGTTTTGTTCTGGTAGCATTTCAATATATTCCTTAGTGGTATCGCATGTGTGTGCAATCCTACTGATAATTTTTCAAAGCAAATTCACCAGGGAAGTTGACTGCCATTATTGCTGCATGGCTGCCTGTCTATAATTTTTTTAAAAAAATTCCCACAGACAGAGTGTTGATATGTTAGTAAATTTATGACAACAGTTTTAAAGGCATTGGTAGGTGTTGTATCACTCCACCTACTGCCTGGCAAGGGTGGGGGTGCTGGGTCCATAGAGTGAAGTGCATTGCTTACAAAGGTGGTGGCGCAACAAAGGAAAATCCACTCATCAATACCTGACATATTGAAGTACCATTTAATTTTTAAACAAAAATTAAAGGGATTGCAGTGCCCCATAAAACAAGAGGGAAAATAAATTGGTACCATGGTGTAGCTGTCCATACCAGTTCAAATTGAAGAAAATGAATTTGTAATGTTAAAACACATTGAGACACTCATCCAGGTATATATACCACATGACCGTGATGCATTACAACAGAGGTTTGGAAAGTATTGTTAGAAGTGGGAACATTTCCCTGGTGTGAACACAGCCTCAGATTCAGTGTCTGGGAATTTATTGTGGAAACTTCTGAAGTAATATTTTAAACAGTTGAAGATGCAAGGCTATATACGGATTTGCTTGATCATCTTCAGCACCTTCCTTCTCCATTTGATGGTGTCAGTTAATAGCAGATTGCTGTGACTTTTAATTTGGGCAAATGATAGTTACCATTTAGCATTATTTGCCTCTGAAACAGAGGCAAATAAAACTGTGTCTTCAATTTTTAGTTTGGAGTGATCTTCAGTTAACACTGGATTAGATATTTCTTCAAGTACCTGGATCCTTAGTTATTTAAAATATTGTACTCTAATATTAACATCTTGAATTGGATCCAATCACTCACTACCAACTAGTGAAAGAATTTCATTTTTTAAAAATAATATTTTTATATAACACACAAACAAACAACCATCAAAAGGATACAGGGAGGGAAAAGGGGGTAACAGAATACAAAACAAAACATAGACACAGGGAAGTATTTGCATTCATACAATATCTAATATACTCTTGACTCCATCGCTGTGATACAATACTAAAATCCATGACCTATATTATATTCTCTACTAATATCTGTTTCTGGGTTGAATCATAAACCATTTTCCAGCTTTCTTTAACGTATGTTCTCGGGTTTTCATGTAATGACTCTGACAATCTATCCATTTCTGCAATAGCTAATAATTTTTAAGTAGCTCCTCTTTCTTTGGATTTTCCCAATTTTTCCACTTTTGGGCCCAGATCAGCCTTGCAGCTGTAAATATGTGCAGCAACATACCGTATTTTTCGCTCCATAAGACACACCTTTCCATAAGACGCACCAATTTTTTAGGAGAAGAAAACAGGAAAATATAATCTGTTTTCTTCGCTCCATAAGACGCATGGACTTTCCACCCCCCCTGTTTTGTGGGGGAAAAGTGCATCTTATGGTGCGAAAAATATGGTATATTTGATTATTAAAAGCTTCTCCCTCTGTCCTGAGGTTCCCACAGGCTTCCCCAGGGCAAAAGGGAGCACTAGACAGCATCTGCAGCTGAAATGGGAGAATAGGAAGCTTTCAATTAATTTCATTTAATTCCTTCCAGTGTCCTAATCCAGTGTACACTAGTAGAACTGCACCAACAGGACTTTGCACATTTTCATATTAAGCACACTGCTATAAACATACTCTTATATTCTTTGTTTTACTTTTAGTTTTTAGGATAATACTGTACTGTAAGAATTCTCTCCCCCCCCCAATCATATAGCTGATTTTTACTACCTGTGCTCTTAAGTGAAAAATGAAGGGAAAAAGCTGGAAGTACTAATGCAAGTACTTTCTGTTTACATTTTTTAAAAAAATGTTTGAAAGTAGTAATTTCTGGTTCCAGTAGAGACTGGACTGGGCATCCGGTATGATATTAGTATATAGTCATATTGTTTTCTAAAATACTCTCAGTGCAAGTTGTGGGCCAGATAGGTGGGGTATAAATCAAATAAATAAATAAATAAATTCCAGCTTGTCGAGAACACTTCCAGCAAGAGTTGCTAGCTCACGACACCATTTTTCCCAGTTTTACAGGTGTAAAATGCCATCTATAAAACATCTTTAAAACATTTTCTCTCAAGTTTACTGGTCTGACCCATCTGTAGTTCTCATTCCACATTTGAGTCCAGCCGTCTATGCCTATATTATAATCAAAACTTTGTGCTCATTTAATCACCCCTGTTTTCACCCTTTTGTCTTCTAGATTATATTCTTTAAAAAAGGATACATGTTTGTATAATCTTATCATTAGTATAAATCCATAACCTGTACCTTCCCCTCATAGAAACCCACTATTTTGTCTTTTTAAAACCTTGATTCTAATTTTAAAATTGTCCACCAGTCTGTCTGCACACCGATTTCCTTCCGTTCCTGCATATTTTTTAATTGTTGCTCATTAGTTAGTAGGTCTTTATACGTGTATCTCCATTCTTTCAAAATTAACGAAGGTTGAGTGCTACCTGTATCAGGATTTTTTAATATATACATTTGCTTCTAGAACTTTTGCCAAACTTGGTACAGTGCTTTCCTTACAATATGCTAAAAAAAAGTTGTTTGATCTTTACGCTTGCCACTCCATATATTTGTATGCCATCCTAATCTCAGGTCATGTCCAGTGAAAGAATTTCAGAAAGGAGTATACATATGTTCAGTCCTTGCTTCCACTGTTTCTGGGCCATCATAAAAGGAAGTCCTTCATAGAGTGTTTTGCAATAGTCAGATTGGGAAGTTACTCCCAGTCCAGAAATCGCTGTAGCTGATGGACCCACCTTTGCTGGCCAAAAGTACTGCTCACCACTGAGGTAATATGTTTTGTATCATGATGCGGGGAGCCAAAAGAATCCAACTGATAAACAAATTTCTCCATGCTGCCTTGTGTTTTTCTACTTTGCATGGCACGATGGAAGACGTTCTGTTTCCAGCATTAGTTTCACCTGGCCAGGCTTGCACTGCTTTTTCTGCTGCACACTGTGTGAGCGGCTGCTTTGTTTCCTGAACAGAAGAGTAATAAGAAGCCAGCAATTTGCTTCATGCAGCATTCCTGTGCTGTGTTCCTTTTTAATCATGCTGTGTTTAATAGTCTGCTCAGTGGATTAAATTAAAGAGTGTGGTAACCCAGACTGCTCTTTCAAGTTTTAGATGGTTGGATAAAAGCTGTAGAGCTCACCCACAGAAT